TCATCGTCAAACGTTATCGCCCTCGCGGACGAAGACTTGACGGCGTCGTCGGCATCGGGCGGGCGGGGGCTAGGGGAACGAGAAGGCTTCGGCTCACCTTCCCCTCACGGAGGTAGTAGCCACCGGCGAGCGGGGCTGGGGCAGCGGGGTTGGGGCGGGCTGCAAGCATGGGACGGTAGCAACGGGGAGTATTACTTCAGCTCGATGGGCAGTGGTGGCGGTGGTAGCATCGGCGGCGGCGGCGGTAGCAGCGGCCGGGGCGGGAGAAGAGCAAGGGCGGGGCCGTCGCGAGACTCCCAGGGGGGGCACAGCGGCGGGGGGAGGTGGTCGTCAGCTTCTCGGACGCTGCCTCGGGGGATGCTCTTCAACCCGAACGCGGAGACGGGGGCGGCGGGAACAGCGGATGGGCGGCAGCAGCAGCAGCAGCAGCAGCACCCCCAGGGTCCCGGTTCGCCGGAGGAGAGCGAGGGCGAGCAGCAAGTCAGGCACCTGCTGAGGGTGAGGCAGGCCATGCTAGGTGGGGGAAACGCCGGGATGGGGCGTGTTGGCGGCGGCGGCGGCGGCGGCGGCGGCCCTCCTTCCGCGACTCGTGTGATGAGGTCGGAGCAGCATCTGGGCGGCGATAGGCGGCAAGAATCGTGGAGCAACGACGGAGATGGCACCGCTCTGGACGAGGAGGGCGGGCGCCCCGCGGTAGGCCGCGGTGACAATGATTACGACGGTAGCGGTGACGGTGGGGGGGCTGAAGACGGCGGCGACGGTGCGGAGGAGGCGGGAAACTCGGCAGGGTCAGCGCGGAAAATCGCCGCACAGGAGGAGGAGGAGGAGGAGGAGGAGGAGGAGGAGCAAGAACGAGAGGAGCTTAGCATCGGCGGCGACGGCGGGTCTGCCGACGAAGAAACAGTAGAAGCTTCCGTTGCTGCTGCTGCTGCTGCTGCAGATGCAGATGCTCCCATGAGTGTCGAAGCCGCTGCTACCCCTCCTGCTGCTGATGCTAATGCCGGCGAGGTCGACGGCGGCGGTAGCGACAACGGCAACAGCTCGGCCGGAAGCTTTGACGGCGGAGCAACGGCAGCAGCAGGCGCTGCGGGCGGCGATGGTGCTGCCGACGAGGACGAAGACAACGACGGATACGACTTGAGCGACGACGAAATGGGGAAGAGAGGCGGAGGGGCCGAGCAGCACGCGCACAAGAGACCGCGTGTGGAGTGAGCGTATTTCTTTGTCATCAGCAGCGGGCATCTGTTGGGGTGTGAGTGAATGAAGGAGGCGTGCCAGACGTTGTTTTTTCGTGCGTATGAACGCGCGTGCTTTGCCAAGGTCTGGGCTTGGGTGAAGAAAGTTGAGCGTCCTGAACTGTGTCTATAGGTTGTGGCCGAATGTTCCACCGGCATCGGGGGTGCAGCGGGAGGGGTTAGTTGGCTCGGTGACGTGCCAAAAGGGGCTTCGGGTTGGCGGTGTTAAATAGTGGGCTGGGCTGGGCACATAGGAGCGTTATGTTTGGCATGACTTTTTTTCTGTTCTTGTGAAGACGTTGTTGACGCGTCGTGCCATATTTGAAAGGAGTGAATCGATGGGGAAATATAGACGGAAGAGAGAAATTCCGCACATGCTTGCGGTGTGTACACGGGTACTTCGACAGGGAAAAATATGGGCGTTGCAATGAAGCTCAAGCGCGTTTGGCCAATTTTCTTGGGCGCACTCGATCATGGCTTGATTTTTCTTTGGACTGCAGTAGCGTTGGTTGGGCAGACAAGTGTTGCTGACGCGAGGCGAGGGGGGGTGTTGGTTGTTTGCTGCCGTAACGCCAGCTTACATGCGCCACGAGATTGATGCCCTTGTTTCTGCTTTTTGGAAAGTTTACGCGGTGTGGCAAAGCGACAACCCATCCGTGATCAGACAGGGCATTCTCGGTTGTTTGGCTGTCGCAAAACTTTGGTGTCGAGTGAAAACTATTATCAATCCCAATGACTCCCCGATGATGTCTACCATTTTACTGTATCTACTCATTCCTTGTGTATTCTCAATGCGGTTTTCTCATCGTACTACACCGCACAACACAAGCACCCTTCGCCAGTCAGCGGCGCCGAGCCTCCCCTCCGGTGTACTCATGCTTTCTGCCCGAAGCTTGTGAGGCCCTGGTTCTGCATCATTCGGTGTAAATCACGCTACAAAGTGCGTAGCCAACAATATATGTGGACGCAGCCTTGCTTGGATTTTCTGCACGCCCAGAAGATCAGGCAGCATGATCTCGTTTCGCATCGATGCGTCTCCCAAGATCCTCCCTTTTCACTCTCGCTTGATACACGACAGAAATATGCGTGCAGGCGAGACCACTGCCGCCTCAGATATGCGTACTTTTGTTTGAATGCGGCGAAATTTCCATCAATCGCGGCGCAACCACCAATTTCTCCAACTGGACACTGGCGTGCCCTCTGCAACGTTGATCTTGCATGGCCAGGTGGTGCATTCACTAAACACCGGTGGCGATGCATGTGAGCCGCTTGAAGCTGCGGGTGTGTTGCATTGATCAGGGATCCGTCAATGTCTAAGCTCTACTCTCAGCACAGTGTATCTGTACACCTATCTACTACTAGAGCAACTACTGCCTGCTGCCTGCACCGAAGACGAAGACGAAGGGTCAATTCCCTCCCTCCCTCTGGATTACTTTCCCTCAAGGTAAAATAATTTATTCCGACTCTTGCCGACACTGATGATGCTTTGTTGCATGCACTCGTGAGGTAGTATCGAGAGAAGTTGGCCGACGTAGGGCGGGTTCCGCAGACAAGAAATGTCTTTCCCGTACCCCAAGTCATTTATTTCTGGTCTGTACGCCTAGCCCATCAATTTGCGTTGGGCTTTCATATAGGATGCATGCGGCGTTGCCCGGGGCACTCTTCTCTTGATCCACGGGTACTGCTGATAGGACACGCTTTGGTTCGTCTCCGCGCAATGGGTAAGTACTCCCTTTGGTTAATTGGCTTCTTTTCTAAAAGAAGCATTAAGATTTCCTGTTCCACAGACCCGTTCCACAGAAAAGAACATTTACAGCAGTCCTGTTGATCCAAACCTTTAGCGGATAAACTATCCTAGTAGACTATAATAATATGTTCCACCGTACGCCTAATACGCTTCCCGAGCAGCATGCAGCGATGTCTCCCCTGTGGGCAACATGCTCGACAAGACGTTACAGTCCATGTTGAGAAGGCGTAGAGGAACACGTCAATTTTGGGAAGATTTCGGGCGGGTGTTAGTGTGTTGCACCCTCGAAAAAGCAGCATACTCGTACGCGTACACACGCCCCAATTGGTTGTGGATGGTTCTTGGGAATGATATCGACGCAAGGAACGTTCTTCGGGGATCCGGATTACTTCCCTTTTCCTGTTCGGCGGGTGCCTCTCCTCTCCCTCCTCACTGCACAGATACTGCTGTACCGCACGTGCGTGGAAAGAAACGGGAGAATGGGTCAAGGCCAGGAATAGAAAATCTCCAGAGCTAGAGGACAGGTGCGTTCTGCCTTTCAGCGTGTGAGTGCGGAGAGCCGATCGTACGTTCTACCTGTGCGGCGCTCGACCACCTGGTAATCTTCTTTGTTTTGACTGCAACATGAAAAATGCATGGCCGTCTCCGAGCTATTTTGTAGAGTACTGCTTGCTGTCTTCTTCTCGAAACCAACATAATAACCGATGTGGGCTGCCCCTGCAGCCTGTCTGTCGGAAGAGGCAGACCATTTGAAGAAGGAACGCACATCTGGTCGTTTCCCTCGTGGGGCGGCCGTACGCGGTCTTCGTCCATGTATGGCGAAAGATTCTTGAAAGATTCGCAACCTTCACACTACATACATACATACATACCTTTACCTGTGTGTTACCTGATCTGATATGGCCGGACAAATTCGTGGCGCACCTACCGAGAGAATTGTAAATACATCCAAATTCCTTGCGCTAAGAGAGGTCGTTGTTGATGTTGAAGTTCTGATATCGATGGAGGCTGCCGAACCACCACCTCTCGAAAGAGAGGGTCGCTGATGATGTGAGTGATCTTCTCCCGGGGAGGGGCTTGAAAACAGCGTATGTATGTAACTCGTATGTCGCACTTGGTTTTACCGTAGAATGTAGCTGTTGTTTTTTGTTTCGCAGCTGAGATGAGCAGCAACCGCTCACACACTACATCTTGATATATTTGATACCCTCTACATGTATGTGTCTTTTGTCGCTTGGAACGGGACCGTTAAGGGCAGCTTTCTTGTTGCATAGAACGACGACGGACCGTCCCGGTCTCCATGTCGGAACCGCTCGAGCCCTCAGAGAGTGAGGTCTTCGTACTTACTGTGATTACGTGTACTGCTGTAAGTGCGTTCTCTACCTTCAGCAGTGACAGGGCTACATAGTTACATAGCCTAGATTGCATGTTTTTGTCTGTGGAACCGGACTCGATGGGCGGGACAAAACAGGATGGTTGGGATGGTGAATAATTGACCGCTTCTGAGCTACTGCTGTACCGAAGAAGAGTCCATCCACAGAGGGAGATCGTGCGTACACCGGTGGAAAATCCAGAGTCAATACAGTATCGGTTTTTCGCCCCCCCCCCCCCCCCTCTGATCTCCGTTGTGTTTGCTCTCTCGGTTTGCGGTCTCCGTGGGCCCTATTGCCGCTGCGACCCGTTGCCCAGGTGCTTACAAGCAAGTGATTATATAAGCGTTATTATTATCATGTTATCATGTTCTATAATACTCACAGGATTGCGGTCGTGTCGTCATACATTTCGAACTAATTGTATGGGGAAAAAAAATATATATATATATATATATATAGTCTATAGTTGCGAGATTTTATTTTGTACACGTGAAGTGAAGTACGCTGGGTAAGACCGAAAACTAGCTCATCTTTTCGACTTCGGCTGCATGACATACCTCCGGCGACCGCGCGAAGGGTGCTTGAACGCCACACCACCGGGTAAAGTGAAACGTTGTTGCTGTAGACAAGTCTTAGCGCATGCACCCGCCTGTTGAACATGTTTTGTTTCGTGTTGTTTCTATGATTTCGGATAAAAATTACTTCGTTCTCAATCTGCCATCATCAATCATAGGTGCTTTACCTGTGGGCTACATCACAGAACATTGCTGCTGTAGCGTGCAGTGACACGTTCTCCAACAGGACGTTCTCCGCGCTCAACAGTGACATGCGACCTTGCGTCCACCCGTTGCATGCATTCGTTGCTGCTGCCGAACTACAGAACACCGCATTTGATGTTGTGTCTCCTGCTTGGGGGGGGTGGCATAAATATTTGCCCGCTTTGCTACCCACACCGATTGTTGTGTACGTGGGTGAAGAAAACTCATAATAGCGCATCTTTGCGACATCAGCTGCATGAGATACCTCCTGCTGCATGCCGAAGGGTATACTTCAATGCGAGGCACCGGGCGAAGTGAAATGCTGCTGCTGTAGACACGTCTTAGCGCATGCACCCGCAGTGTTGAACATGTTTTGTTCCGTGTCGATTCGGATTCAAAGCTGCCGTAGACGACATTGTCCGGATACTGTTGAAGATTGCTGCTGCTGTAGCGTGCAGTGATGTTCTCCAACAGGATGTTTTCCGCGCTCAAAAATAAACACGCGAACTTGCGTCAACCTGTAGCAACAAAGTCTTCGTGCAAGGTGGTAGCCGACAGTTTGTTGGAGGAAACAAACCTCAATAGGTGTGCTGTTGTCTGCGAGCCTCCGATTCGAGGTCGTAAGTTGTTCGAAAGCGTAGGTGGCAGTACCTCAGTCATACACGGAATGGATGTCATGTTCGATCTCATCCACGCACGCATTCCCTCCTCGCAAAATTTCCCACACCCGTCTTCCTTCCGCTGTACGTTTGATGGTGATGATGATCGGGCATCTCGATTTTTCACGAAAATTCCCCTGGGTTTCATTTTATTTTTATCTATCGATTGTCTACGCCATGGACGGACGGACGTGAGGACCTCACGTTGTCTAAGACTTACACCATTCTTTCGTATCGATGTTATTATCGCCTCTACTTCCTCTGCCTATCAAACCGCCGCGCCCATCCCACGCATGCTGGCCGCCCGCCCCACTGGGGGGCGGGGGGCCAATCGTTCCCCCTAGTATTATATATTATATACGTGCTATCATTTTGTCACAAACATCATGTGCGGTACCAGGTACACACACCTACCTTCGGGACCGTTCGAGTTCACCACAGCTACTCTTGGGATTCATGTGGGGCGAAGGTCGGCCTTGCGAGGGCGAGAAAAAGGCTTTGCGTGATTGCGCTGGAAGAGGGAACTAAAGGGTTTGGATGGCTCTTTGATGCCGTTCTTCGACTTCTCAACCATACTGCGGTAGACGAACCGTCAGTGCCTGCCACACGTGACGAACCATTGCACTACAGTCAGCAGTACCGAACGCTCTTCAGGCTCGGAGGTTTGAAAAAAAAATGGAATGGCGCGAAGCCTTCAACAGCAACGGAATGCAGCAGGCTCGCTTCTTTGGGTAGCTTAGCAGGGTTCAGTTCCTAACAAGGCCTCAACATCGTAAGTGAATCAGCATTGCACGTTTTCGTCGGTACCGCCGGTCGAAGGCGATAACGAAAATCCTCCTACATCCTCTCCAACCTTCATTGTATCGCGGTTGGCCTCAGCAGGCGACAAGATTGCCCCCACCGCTTTGGAGTGAATTTCCGCGGTCTACACGGCAGTGAGAGGTCGACGGACCTCAGTACCCAGCATGGCGACAGAAGATTGGCGGTGGCAGGTGATGCTGGATTGGTGACTTTTGCTTACAGACAGGCAAACGCATTGCGCAACGACATGGCGAAGCTCGCCGGTGGGGCATTTGTCATCCTTGCGAAGTTGTGTCGTCGTGGGCTTGGCGGCCACCCCCCCTCTTCCCATCGTATGCTAACAGATTGTTGTTGCGGGTCTAAGGAAAGCGACAGATGAGTCAATTGCCCCAAAAGAAGGAGGAGAAGTTCCGGCCGAACGTTCCCCGATACTCTGCTCTGTTCAACAATTCGATCGTCGTTTAGTCCCGTGAGCATCATATAGGTCGCGAACCCATGGACAGCATTCAGCCATGGGTTCGCGCAGAACATTCGCCTCCCAGCTTTGACTGGGAGGACCTTGCCCGCGGGAAAAAAACTTCCACCGTGTCGCCCCCGGCGATCCGCTGGCGGTTTACAGACGCCCGCACTCACGAACTTGGCAGCTACTGTAAGAAAATTGAGACTCGGAGAACTCCAAGCACAAGAACTTGGGCACCCTTTGTGAGCCCGGGTAGGAACCCTTACGCTCAAACCTATCTAGATAGCGGTCATTGGTGGTCAATGAGAGGACCTTACAAAAAAACAGCCTCGGGCTAAACTAGAGGTTCTTAAGTGCGGGCATCGCCCGCAGTTCACTACTACATACGTTTCTTCTTGCTGCTGACAGGGAGGGGGGCCGGCGAACGAGAACATGAAGGGCGTCGCCGCCGGGGACAACGGGACGATCATTGCGGTCGGTCGAACGGACGGCGATTTTTTTCCCTTCGTCAGCCTGGGTGGATTTGACTTCTTAGCGGTGAAGCTCGGACCAGACGGGGTGTACTCGTGGCATTGGCAGGTCAGTGCGGTCGATGGCGGAGTTTAGATATTTACAAGTTTGTTCCCCCCACGGTTAGCTGTTCCGCTCGCAGTAGGCCCTATGCTGCTCTCGGTTTGCCGATGTTGCTCACGAAAGAAGTCGTTTGGTGTTTGTGTAAAGACTCTCGCAAGAAGCGCGTTGCCGATCGTCTCACGACAGGTGATGAGTGCCGGGCCGAGCTCTCCTTGTCAACTCTCCCAATGGTAGATGAACAGGGACGTTCGTTTCAAACGAGTTGGATTTGCCTCTATGCACACGGTTGACACCGCCCCCTAGTACAACCCGCCCCCCTGTGAAGCACATTGGAGGCTAAGGTATTCACCCCGAAAAACGTTCGTCACTCGGGCTAACCGTCTTCTCGCTGCACGCCCCCCGGCCGACAAACCGGGAGAGGACTTCCCGTTCCGATAACGACATTGCCGTGCTTCCAACTTCTCCTCCACACGAAGCATCGCGGGAGGCGAGACAGACTCCCGTCCGCTTCGGTGTTGCACCAGCACCATATTTTCTCTCGCGTTTTCGCCGCTCCGTGTGACGCCGCCGCGCTCATGTACCAGGACGGCACCAGCGACGAGGACAACCTCAACGATGCGGTCGTCAACTCGGACGGGTCGGTCGTGTTGGCCGGAAGCACCGAGGGGGACTGGAGCGGTACAAACGCCGGGCTCGGCGACTTAGCGGCCGTGAAGCTCGACGAGTCCGGAGCGGTTCTGTGGAAGTGGCAGGTAGGTGTGAAACGCGAGGCGGAGAAAGTGAGTTTCATTTTTCCAAGAAAAATCCGCAGGAGATCGCGGCAAGGGGGCGGGGAATGTCTACCGCGTTTGAGGAAAATCAATTTACGAAGCGATCGGTTTCGGTAGTTGCACGAAATGAAAACCACGGGTGGATGTCCAAAGCTATACTTTCGGTTTGCCTGTGTGCCGTGCCAAAAACAAACAAACCTCGGCAGAGCGGTACATCTGACGACGAGCTTCTCGTGGGAATAACTTCCGCCAATAGCGCTAGCGGGAGCGAGGTCGTGCTGGTCGGCCGAACGGAGGGGAGCTGGGCCGCGAGCAACGTTGGTGGGTACGACTTCTGCGCCGCGAAGCTGGATGCCGATGGCAACGAGCTCTGGTCGTGGCAGGTAACAGACGGGATCGTTGTGGAACTGGCAAGAGGGGGCAGTTATCCTTCGGTCAAGGCCCTTCGATGGCGTTGCTACCAACGGGATGACTTGACTCCCGGAGGTTATTTTCGACAAGAATCGACTTATTTCTTGTTGATGCGGGATGTTTTGTCTACGTTTGCGGTTACTCCTGATTGACGTATCATATGGGGTGCCGTCAATCGTCCACCTGAGACAGGCATTCTAGAGGTTTCTTTCCCAGCCGCCACCATGATGCAGCGGACGTTCGGCAGCGCCCGCCCCTCTGATCACGTCCGACAAGGCCTTCACTCTCTGTCTCTCTGTCTCTCTGTCTCTCTCGTTGTATCCTTCTGTGTCTGTCTACCTGTCCGTCTGTCCGTCCGTCTGCCTGCCTGCCTGCCTGCCTGCCTGCCTGCCTGCCTGCCTGCCTGCCTGCCTGCCTGTCTACCTGCCTGTCTGTCGGTCTCTCTACCTGTCTGCCTGCCTGCCTACCTGCGTGTCTCTCCCTGTCTCTCTCTCCCTCTCTCCCTCTCCCTCTCCCTCTCTCTCTCCCTCTCCCTCTCCCTCTCCCTCTCTGTCTCTCCCCCCCCCCCTTCTCTCTCGTATTCTCGCGAATATCCTGTCCGTCTCCAAAAGGATGGCACGGACGCCGACGACACCACGAAAGCGGTTGCCGTGGACGGCGACGGCTCCGTCTTCCTCGCAGGCTACACGGAAGGCGACTGGAACCAGCCCAACGAAGGCGAGACGGACTTCGCCGTGACCAAGCTGGACGCCAACGGGACCCTGGCCTGGCGCTGGCAGGTAACACAACTGTATACCGCGGTGTAATGACGGCCGTCAGAAAACCGCGGTATGTCGGAGAGGCGCTCTACTGGAGGAAGGTCCCTGAATAGTACTTGTGCCAAGAAATATATTCCGCCACGTATCGGGAACCGCGTTAATTGGGACCGCGATGTTGTGGGGACCACACCACTGTCTGTGTGTACAGAGACGACAGAGAGATTGTATATCATCAAAGGCCTTGGCGCAGTGGTGTTTTTCTATGGTCGTAAGGTTTGCCGAATGCCTTCGGTGCATGTTCTCCAGCCTTGCTGCGTAGATACGGCAGGTAGCAGGAGAGGCTGTTCGAGTTTCCATAACGTGGCCTGTCGGGAACGTTCAGGTATTCATTGCCCCCGCCGAACCACGTGAACACCAAAACCCACCATAAAGACGACAATGGCGAAGAAAGTTTTTCTCGATAGCACAACGGACCGCAGGATATCGTGGGGACGTACTTATATTTTCCATGCCTTAGCGGTTACACCATTGACCCCCACGCGTCCTGGAAAGGACGAAGCCTTGTTCCCACAGTACCGATCACCAGTATCGCTTTCTACTTTACCAAAGGTGGGCTAAACAAATATTTCCCTAGCCTATCTGTCCTACCGATACCATGTCCTTCCTTTTCAGCCAACCTCCTATGCCCCAATACAGCTACCGTCCTCGCCTGGCTGCCCCATGCCTCCATGATCCCTCTGTTTCTTCCTCCTACCTTTTCCCCCCAGCTCAGCCATGCATGTTTCCCTCTGCGTTTCGTGAACCGGACAATCTGCAACGACATGAACCCGTTCTTCGCACTCGGAGCCGCAATCATATTTGAACATGTCATCGTCATCCTTCGGGATGTGGTGGTCGGGGGGTGGGGGGGCGCATTTTTCGATTAATTTTCTTGTCAGGACGGTACCGAGGACGAGGAGTTTGGGCTGATGGTGGTCGTGGGCAGGGACGGCGGGGTGTATCTGGCCGGATACTCCACCGGCGCCTTCGGAGGGATCAACAAGGGGTCGGAGGGCTTCGTGGTGGTCAAGATCGACGGGCGGGACGGGTCCGAGCTGTGGCGTTGGCAGGTGCGAGACGGCACCGCAGAACCGCCGCAACCCAGCTGAACCTGTCTCGACTGCTGTAGCCCTACGTTTTCCCCGGTAACTAGGGCCCGTTGTTACGGGGAAGATTGCGTTTCGCCAAAAACACACGCACACGCCTTCTTATCACTACGTGAGGGCGTGAAAAGAGGCGGCGTAGTCTCAATGACCTAACAGCTAAGGCGTGCAAAACACGAGCACCCCTCCCTCCCATATGCACGCCTTCCTACCACTACACTACATGAGCGCGTGAAATGAGGTGGCGTAGTTTCAGTGGCCTAACGCCTAAGGCGTGGAAAACATGAGCACCCCTGCCCGCCGTCCTACCACTACATGAGCGCATGATAACATCTGGTTCGGTGTCTCGCTGAACATTAAACATTTAACAAAAAACACGCGGGCTGTGGACAGAACGGGACTTCGGCCGCGGACAAGCTGTTCGGTGCCGCCATCCTGGACGACGACTCCGTCGTCGTGACCGGGTACTCGGAGGGTGACTGGGCCGAGACCAACGCCGGGGGTTCGGACTTCTGCGCGGCGAGGCTCGACGCCAACGGGAGCGAGATGTGGCGGTGGCAGGTGAGCGAGCGAGCGAGCGAGCGTCTCTCGGTGGATGGCGGGAGAGAAGTTGTGTTTGTGGGCGCGGCCGGGTCAAGGCCTGTCTCGCCGAGCGCGGTGAAACGCGCCGTTTCATGCTCTGGGTATCAGCGGGATTTGAGCGGTGCGGTAGGGCGAGCCTCCATGCCCGCCAGCAATAATGTCGCGAGAAAACAGTGCATGTCCTCTTTTAGCCACGTCTGTAGCATTCTGTCTCTGTCTCTCTTTGCTTCTCTCTTGAATCATTTCTGTCTCTGGCGCTTACTTCCCGATTCCCCGCCAAGAAGTACAACGAGGATAGAAGCACGTGCGCTAGAAGACCCAAGGATGCGAATGGAGCAACCACTGATCGCAGCGACCACGTGGCTTCTCGAGTTTGATTTGGACCCACGGGTAGTACCAGTTGCATCACCCCGCCAAACAATGTTCCCTCCGGCGGGGAGGCAAAAAATGGTTGATGAGGCCAGGGCGAGTATCCCAACATGCGTGGGAACAGCCGATTGTTGCCGGCCGGCGAAACGATTGCCTGTACATGCCCAGTTTTTGCTCTCGAGCAGCGTTCTGCTTGCTGCCGGCACTAAGCGCTGCGGTCTAGGGACCGGGCGACGCCCGCAGTTGGAGATATCGCTTTTCTTTCTTCTGCTGTGTGCATTTACGATCGCCCTTTGAGCTGACGGCAGTAGCCTTGTCCTTTTACCGACAAAGACATGCACTGCTACAACCCACGATCGCAACCCAGAAGCCAGCCAGGCACTGCGCGCGATCAACCTAACGGGTGGTTGGCGTATTTTTGTATCTCTGTTTGCACACTTTACGCCCCCACGCCCCCAGGCCGGCACCGACAGCAGCGACTGGATCACCGCGGCAACGGTCTCGCAGGTGGTCGCGGGGGCCCCGCGGGCGATCCTGGCGGGCACCACCGAGGGCAGCTGGGACGGGGACAACAACGGGGAGGAGGATTTCGTCCTGGTTTCCTTGGACGTCGGGGAGGTGGAACCGATCCCGACGCCGGCCCCGTCTCAATCGCCGGCACCGTCTCAATCGCCGGCCCCGTCTCCATCGCCGTCGTCGGTGCCCTCCACCCCGGCCCCGCAGTTGACGATCCGGGCGCCGAAGACGACGCCGACTCCCTTCACACGGGCGCCGTTCGTTCTGCTCCCACCGGAGGAAGGCCTCCCGACGACGACAGCGCCAGCCCCTTCTTCGGCGAGCAGCGGCCTCTTGCAGGGGCAGACGCTGGCGCCGACCTCGCCCCCTCAAGATTCGGACCCGGACCTCGCAAACGTGGTTGGGGTGGCGGCGATGGCCGTGGTGGGCGTGGCGATCTTTGCGGGGTGCGTCGGCTGTGTGTTGGGGTGTATCAAGGGCGAAGACAAGAAGAAGAAGAAGGAGAACGACGGAGGTGGCGGCGGCGGCGGAGGCGGCGGCGGGCGGTCGACCGGCGGCGGCGAGCGGTCGAGCGGTGAAGGAAGCCAGCCGTCGCCCTCGTTTCTCGCCCGCTGCCGCCGCAATCGGTACGTCTTCATGTTCACGAAGCTGTACGAGTCGGTGATGGCGTTGGCGTCCCCGGTAGACGTCGGGACGGACCTGTCCGTCATCTACGGCTACTGGATGGACTCGCACCCGCTGTGGACGACGCTGCTGGTCGTCTTGTTCGTGTTGAGCTGCCGCTTCACGGTCGCGTTCGCCGCTCTCCATCCTCCGCCGGACAAGAACGTCATTTTGCCCCTCTACGTCTTCCCGTTTTGGGCCGCCTCTTACCACAACCTGGCAGAGGAGCCGGAGAATACCGCTCGCTCCGCGAGGGCGACCAAGGAGGACGGGGAGGAAGCAGAAAAATGTCTCGGATCCTTCCTGCCCATCTGGCTTCGGTCGCTGTTCACGGTGGGTAAAGACTCGTTATTTTTTGGGAGGCGCCCCGCTGTCAGGAACGGGTGGGTAAAGACTCGTTGTTTCTTTTTTTTTTGGGAGGCGCCTCGCGGTGCCAGGAGCGGGCTCTTTCTCCACTAGTACCCCGTCAGGTTGTAGACCAGACGGAAATGAACGCCTGCTCGGGCTCGCTTGGAGACGCTCATCGTTCGCGTGGCAGCCAGCAGGGTACGTGGATCAAGAGCGACCCGAAACCTTCACACCCCGCAGCACGGGGAAATCACCTCCCCGCGATTAACTCGAAACCTTTACTCTAGTTTGTCTGTTTGAACGTACTTTCACGATCTTCCGCGCCCATTTTAATCCGTTGGAGTGTGATGATCTTGTTGGAACTGTCCCTTGTACTCGCGAACGTCGATTGGTCGACAGGATTGGCTTAAGGCCGCCGATAACCAAGACAACTGGTGTGCGTGGTTCCTGATCTTGCTCAAGTTTGAACTTATTCTGGTCTTGTTCTGCTGGTGGGCGCTTGTCCTGATCGTGGGTGCAACTTGGGTCGTCATTCGCCAGAACATCGGTCTTTTCATGAAAGGTAACGTGAGCTTCAGCACCTCGACGTGCCTTGACGGCATGCTCAACGTGCTTGCGTGTCTTCCCAGGGGGTTCACAACAAGTGATAGATCGATCGCGACCCATCGGCCGTTTATGTCATCCGCGCTTTCACTGCCAAGAAATCGTAAAACAAGCCCTGGATACATGGCCCGCCCCTCGTCGGCAAGCAGGATGCCACCTAGAAGCTGTATTGTAGCTTCTTGCGGTGACATGAACGAAAATTTCCCATTTGGGGCCGCGAGTAAGCGTTGTCCCCATGCCCCTGCCTTTTTGCATGAGCTGTGCCATTCTGTCGTGAGGAACGCCCGACGGACCGTTGTTAGCGGCGCCCATCTTTGCTCGCGATAGATTTCCCCAGTGGTTGTTCTCGTTTGTGGCGAGCGAGTGCACGGGTTTCACAACACGTGGTCAACGCCGGGCTCAAGCGTTACTGTAGATCTATGTCCACAACACGCAACATGCCTTTCCCATATCGCCTGCCGTCTTGCTGTTCTTGATGGGCTCCACCCCGCTCAACCACGAACACCAGCGCTACTAGGAGCCTCGGAACAATCCCTGGAAGAGGAGGAGGAGAAACTAAGCCAGAGGCAGTCATACATGAACAGCATCAAGTTCGTGGAAGCGGCTCTTGAGAGCGTCCCGCAGCTCTCGTTCCAGACGTACGTGTTCTTCTGGTTCGGCGGGGACCCCGCACGCTTCACCTTGAGCGCCTTGATCGCGATTGGCTCCATTCTGGTTGCCCTGTACACGTACCTGACCACGAGCGAGAAGATGAAGGCGGCCCTGAATATGCTCAGGGCGATATTTCGTCCAGATGCTGCTCCCGCTGCTGCTGCTGCCCCAGCCGCTGTCCCCCCGCCCCCTCCCCCGCCCCTATTCTCAACGAGACCATGATTTCTTTCGGACTGCAGAGAAGATATGGCACTCAGTTGCCGAGACCAACAAAGCGTGCCGGAACGCCTGCTGCCCAACTCCGCTTAAGCTGGCACGCAAGATATGTTGCAAGCTTCTGTTTTTGGCCTGTTGTCTGCCCTGCTCCCCGTCTTAGCTTCTGGCTCTTGCGGACACGTACTGCTGTGTAGTGTCTTCGCGAAGGTCGATTTTTTTCTTGGTGGTGATCTGCCAGTTCATGAGCCGGGGTATTTAGACGTATTATAAGTACCAATCGATCCTTGGCCAATGCTTCATTGAGGGGGTCTGTTGGATGTTTATATCGCAATATACATGAGATGACTTGCTTGGTGACAGCGACAAAGTGCAATGTCACCTTCGAATCAAGTTACGCAGTAGTAGTGCAGGTGTGTTTTTTACTGTGTTTCATGTACTGCTGGGCAAGCAGGATGCATTTTTGGCCGTCATTTTCTAGAAGACACTTCACCCGGTTGGAGTTTGAATTCATTCTCTACATATGCATGTTTAGTAGCTGTCATTCTGAGTTTCACGGCTTGCTGAATCGTATGACGCACGTCAGAATTGCACCTTACGCACGTGAGTACGCGTCGCTAAAAATTCTTGTTATTGGCGACTTCAGTATGTAATTGATGCATAGCATTTGCTTGGCCACCCTTGTATTGAGTACAATGGTCCGATCTCTGCCCAAGGACCTTGTCATCTGATTGGTTGGCACTTTGGGAAATATGTTCGAGTGTGGTTCCGTCGGAATGCGTTGCTTGGATGGTGCAGGCCCCGTGCAACTCCCATCTTCTCACATACTGTGTTTTCCTTTCCGGTCTCGCCGACCAAACTACCACATTTTTCCAAAACACCTTTGCTTACCTCCGGGAGCCCTTCGTCCTCGTGCAAGAGCCCGCAGACACAATTATCCACGGAGGTTGACTGCCACGAGTAGTGTAAACTGCACCGCGTGCGGATACGTTGTGCTCTGAGTTCCGCTCGGGACGGGTTGTCTGTGATATCGCGCCACATGCTTTGCTTATGACGTACACCGGGCACCTCTCGCTTCATGATATTTCTCTTGTCGTAGGCACGAGCCGCAGGCAGAGATTGATTGTTTTCCACACACCTAGGTACGCGGCTTGCACGCGGCTTGTACGCGGCTGGCTTTCGCACACACCTATCTCTCGAGATTTCGGTGATGGAAATCAAGCAGATCGGAAAAATACAAGCCAATAAACATCAACGCAACAATACATCCGCATACTGAGTATGCGATGAGTATGCTCCCGATTTCTATTGCCCTGCATTGCTGGTATCAATCTCGATGAAGCGCTTGATCTTCGCTGCTCTTTTAGGACACACGAAGAAGTATTTTTACACGTAAAACTGAAAAAATGAACGGCCCCACTACAGCATAGAGTACATGGTCTAAATAGACTACTGTATTTACACTTTGCTTTTGTATGGAGTACTTTTTTTTTTCAGAGCGGCCCGGTAGGGGTTCTTTTTGCCCGAGCTGTCCAGCAACTGCTACCTTTTCAATCCGTGATAAGTGACTCGAGATAACACAGCATCTGTCCAGAATATATGTGCCGCATTCTGGCGTCTCCCCGACGTGGAGGCTTTTTCGGAACCAGACGTGCTTAAAGTAGGCTCACCAAACAGACATCATCACACCCGGAGCCATACATGGACAAGGGGGGAGGAAGACACACACCACAGCAAGAGTCTGGGCGAGAGCGAGACGCGAGCAGTGTGTGCCCTATACTATACTGCTGTTAGCTGTCGTCGGAAGAAGCGAGAGGAGAGAAAAACGTCTCACTGTCGCTCTGTTTTGGGGTGCGTCTGTTGGTTGTGGATCAAAGATCGACGTGCAGACAGACGAAGACAAACCACCGCAGGTTGATTGACTTGTGTGCACTTGCCTCCCTCACTAATACGCTGCTAGCAGCAGGCAACCCTCAAAAATTGCTCCCGATGCCTCGTACGATGTGTTCCTTTTGGCCGCCCTTGACCTGCAGCAGTCTCTGTCTTGGGGGTGGGTACGTACATTTGTGGGGCAAGCTCACCAAAAGATCGGTCAGCAGAAATGACAACAGCAGATTGAACCTGTGTCGCATCCCTCGCCTGTTGTGCTGTCGACAGCAGGCAACCGGCTCTGACAGTCGAACCCGAGCTTGGCTGCCCTTGTTCCACCGCACGTGTGCTGCTGTGCTGGTTGTCTTGTGTGTTGTCTTCGTGTGTCATGCTCCTGCTGCTGCTGCTGTGCTACATCTGTCGGGGAATTCTCCCTCGGCGGCGTGACCATCAGCCAATCAGCGATCTCTGTCCTACATGCGATTTTATACTCCTCTTTCTGAAGCAATAGTCTACGCAAGGAATGTTCCGAGCATAGGGAAGGAAACCACCAGCCACATCCATCCCTGATTGGTCAAGACGTGACATTCCTACTGCACTTCTGCGCCTGCTGAAAAATTCGCCGCTCCGGTGTGAACCACTGCTCCCCCATAGAGAGCAGACCGCAGCTATACGAAGAAAGGACGGCAGCAGCATCCAGCTTTTTAACTGCGCTTCCGCAAACAGCAAAGAAAGCTGAGAGAGAGCGCCGAGCACATCATACGGCTGGTACATGGTGCGCGCCGCAAACAGGTGGAGAGAATTGACTACTGCTGCACTAATAATGTAGAAAAGCATTGACAGATGGGACGCACCCGACATGCGGCAACCCCACCAGGTGAAGTTTCGGCTTTGGTCTGACATGTGTACACCAAACTCCTGTACTGCTGTAGTGGCCCATCAATGCGTTTTTGGTGCGCTCTGCCCAATCTCCCCACACTAAGAACACGTACGTATGTATGGCCCGACCGGAAATATTTCGGAGAAACCCTCCGTGTTGTTTGCGTCGTGCGTGGCCTCTCCTCTGATCAGATACCAATGCAGTGCCGGCAACGCTGTGCTCATCAACACCTTTGCATGCACAAAAATGAACCTGACGTTGCCCGCTTCAGGGTATACGTTCTGGATCCGCTGGACAGAGAGGGGACTCGAGAATGCCGGGGTTTTTGTGGGATACGGTGCTCCAGTACCCGCTATCGTAAGGAGACACTATACATGTAGAACCCATTACTCTGACGGGTCGGCGTTCGTGGGACCTTTGAAGGATGGAATGAGGCACGGGAAGGGCTGCTACTTCTTTCACGACGGAAAGCCGGTGCGTGCTATTGGTAATGGTACAAATAACCAGTGTCTGGTATGCATATCTACCGATTATTTAGAGTCGCCTTGTTGAACTGCGATTTCCAGAGCCAAACCGAGGTAGCCAAGGATGCGCATGGCGTCAAATAAATACCAACGCCTACTTCCAACGTTTGCTGTGTTGTGCTCAAACGTCACTGACAGGGTATGATGTGACCCCTGATCCATGCACCCTTCCCCTCCTCTTCGTTGCGCATCACTACTGTCCCCGACGGTTTTGGTGGCCTTTCTTGTATCTTGTGTCTTGTCGTAGCTCCTCTTGTAGGTACGAGGGATACTTCAAGGGAGACAAACGCCACGGAAAGGGAACACTCAACCTCGCCAGCGGGGGAAAGTGCGTGGTCTGGCTGTTTCTGACTTACTCGACATGCTGACGCATATGCTCTGTGCGCTTTTGTAAGCAGACAAGCCAAATCGGGCCATGTGTGCCAATGCAGTGCACTCGTATTGACCGCAGATGGTGTGTGCTGCATCAATCAACAAGCAAACGTGCAGTAAATACATAGTTGCGCGGCCGGTTTGTGTTTCCTTGGCCTTTATTGCGCATTCCTGCATGCTGATCTTTCGTGCTTTGATGAACTGAACACAGATACGTCGGCGACTGGGAGAACGACTCGCAGCACGGCTTCGCGGCGTTCTTCTTCGCCGATAGCTCTTCCTTCAAGGGGCTGTGGATGCAGGTGATGCCGACGACGTTGCATGGTCAGCAGTGTCGTCACGATGTGCCCTGGGTAGACCGCTTGCGGGGTCGGTAGCACCCGACCGCTGGGGCCATACGGTTCGAGACGACGGGCTACGGTACGGTTGCAACCGCGCGCAAGTCTTCAGCTTCTCGTGCTGACATCCGGTTAGTCTGCCGCCGTGGCACATGATGGAAGTTCTCCGCCGAACCGTGTTTCTAGCAGGGCCGTCGTGTGATGGCTACGACACAAACCAGTATGTTGCCAATGTGTTAGCGTCTTGTCCCGACACCACTGGATGAATCGTCTCAACTCAGTGCACTACCCAGAGACCTAATTTTTGTTCATGCCGCGCGTCATTTTTCCACTTCTTTTTCACGTTGCTCCTCAGGGTAAGAAGCGGCGCATTCATCTTCTCATCTGGCGGGCGGTATATCGGGGAGTTGCAAGCAGGGCGCAGACACGGTCAAGGGCCTTTCCTGTTTGCTGACGGCTCCAGCTACGAGGGACAGTGGCAAGGCAACGTGCAACACGTTGAGATGACCGGAGCTGGCACGCTCCAAAATGGGGGTTTGTTGGGATGTCCATTGGTTTATTCTTGTCTTGCTCTATCGCTATTTCACTGCTTCATCCACGGTTCACCTCACCTTCAATCGCTCGAAAGTTTCAAGCAATGGACGTACCTGCTTTGTACCACTCGTTCATTGCCTTTGTGCGCAGCCGAAATGGACGCCATTGTCCAGACTATAGAGCAAAGGCCCAGGAGGCACGAGCCAGGACTGTACCTCTGTTATTGTATTTCCTTCTTCACTCATCCGAGCTGCTGTTTGATTGTCTTGGTTCTTCCACTTGGCAGGAGAGGGAAACGCGTGGTACGCCTCGGGCAATCGTTACGTGAGGCAGTGGCTCTACGGAAAGCCGCACGGGGAGGGCACATACTATTACGCCACGGGGGCGAGATACGAAGGGTAGTTCGATGGTGGCAAGTGCCACAGCCGCGGAACCTACTTCTACGCCAATGGTAACAGGTGAGCAGAGAAGCACTAAGCGGAATGTCTGTGCCATGCTGTTTCGGCTGTCTATGCCGTGCGCCCATCTCTTTCTCAACACCCTTCCCTCAATGCGCATCTGATGCTAGCTGTGCCGTGCTCCATCTCTTCCCCATTTTGTGTGTCTGGAATGTGTTAGACCTTTCTGTCCCACCGTCGTCGAACGGCGTTCCGTCTTTGTGTTGCTTCTCTTGCCTTGTCTCTGTTCTCTTCTTTTTGTTCACACCATTACTCTCAGGCTAAGCCAAATGCGAACACGGCTTTCACTTCATGCTTCGGTTCAGGAAAAAACGCATCGTGTACCATGCTACTTGTACTGTTGCGCCTGATGTGGCGTGCCTGAGTGTCGTGGGTGGCGACGGCGTGTGTTCCGGATTCTGAGACGAGTCTGACGTTGGAGTGAGTACCTCTTGACCTTCAGTCCTCCCGGTACATGTACTCTGCTGGCGTCTCTCTTCCAGCTACGAGGGCGGCTTCGACAACGGCAGAAGGCACGGCGTGGGCGTCTACCGCTGGCCCCACGGAGACTTGCACCGAGGCTCTTGACCGCAGGAGTGGACGAGGCCACTACGAGTGGACCGAGGTTGGGCTGACCTTCGAGGGGATGTTCCACGATGATCGCAGGACGGGCCGCGGAAGCATCGTCTTCCCCGATGGTTCTAGGTGAGAGCCAGGGACATGGTTGAGGCCAAGGCGAGGGTGTGGGAGGAGGGGCGGTGGGGCGAGATTCGTCTCTCACCACCCCACCCCCGGCGGCAGTACGGTACCTCGGGTAGGTCTCTCTTTCCGCGGCGCGGGGAATGATGCCCCCCAGGGGCATGTATCAAAGTTCCTACATGTACTTGTTATCTTTCATCGCGTGTACGTCAATGGGAACGCCCAACGTTTGGCCATCATCGCATTTCTCGTGGTTTGTGTGGCACCCGCATTTCGCCGGAAAACATGAATGTCAGAGAGTACGCGGCGTTGTTTTACTCTCCACGCTTGCTGCGAGACCATTGGTGCAGATAGGAGTGCCAGTGGGAAGATGACAAGGCGCTCGACTCCACGGCGCAAGGGTCCCGAAGCGTCCATTATCGCGCTGACGGCATCGAGTGCACGATTCAAGGAAACGAGCTCAGGAATCTTATGAGGCATATCAACCATCTGCGTATGATGGTGAGAGGGGCGGTTAGACGGCATTTCATACGTGAACATGATGGAAACTGAAACTTCAAACATCCAGGCCGCCTTGTTGATTTGTTGGAACAATTTTGGGCGGGCTTGCGTTTTGTCCGCATCGGATGGCACTTTCTTTTGGGATTCAATACTTTGATCAACTTGAGTTGTAGTGTCCGACAATTCCTGGAAACGGGTTGCCAAGTATGTAGCATGGAATCGGCGGGTGTGCTGTTTTGGCAGTCTGGCAAATAACCAAATGTTTATTTTTGGGGGAGGTGAATTCTGGGTTCTCCACACGCCTGTGCTAACTATGTCACCCCTTCTCCCCCTCTTCCTTCCTTCAATTCCCCGCTATGTGGCAAAAATGACTACCCAATCATTATTTCCAGCAACCAGACACTCCTATTGTCGTTCCTGAAGCTGAGCAACCGGATCCGCAACTCCCCGCCGCAGCCATAGCACCGTCGATCGCTTCCACGGCGGAGGCGGTGTCTGATGTATAACGATGTCTGATGCCGAGGGCATAAAGTCTTAGGCAACGGAAGGTATCTACTGTAAGGTATTTTTTCTTCCCGACCGTGATGCGTGTAGGTGGTATTCTGTACCATCTTGATGCGAAAGTAGAACGTTTTGCTTGCAGTCTCAAGCACCCATACGTGAAGGTACCACCACGTCTTCAACGAACGGTGTATATTCAGCGAAAGGAAATACGACACGGGGAATGGAGAGAGGGGGTGAGGCGTTGTGTGCGGTATCAAATGTGATGTTATTTGCTCGAAATTATGTTGTAGAGTTTCCAGGACGAGGTGTTTTGAAAGCGGCGTATTTAGTGTGGTCCCTGTGGTCCCCTTATGGTGATGTCGTTCCTCACCTTTGACGAGGGTTGTAACGGCTGATGGCGTGGTGTGTCGGGGGGCTGGGCGACCAAAGATCAAAGATGGAGGCATACGACGACTCTTCATGGTGTCATCTACTGATAACGGTACCGCGGTACAGTTAGAAACGGCGGGAAGGTTGCTCTCTTTTCGAATGTTGGATTAAGTATGTATAGAGCCAACGTCAGAAGGGTTTTGAGTTTCCCCGCTTAATTACGGTCGTAGTGAAATGTGTGTGTCCCAAGCGGTATTTTCCACGCGGCGGGGGCCTTGTTGTGGATTGTGGACTATATCTACAGTGGCGTTGTTGTTGACCGCAGTACACTTTTCCGTGACGTTCCCCATGTCTAGTACGGCAGGGCAGCTTCAGGGCCATCGGCGCCAACATTGCAGGTTCCGCGACAATTCTGTGTACACCCGCTTCACTTCGGGAAAAATTATACATTTGATTTCGCCATTGTCACAACGACGTGGGAGCGCTATTTTCGTTGGATTCCTGCGGAGATCATACAGACAGCTGTACCACGGCAGCAATAGTAGTCCCGTAGTGAATGTCCTGTCAACAACGTCCGCAGGGCATCTGATTGTTGTTACCTGGAGCCCGTTATGTGCCGTCAAAGCCGTTCAATTGCCATCCACAAAACGGTGCACACGACTGCAGCTGTACTTACCATTCTGGTTCTGTTGAACCCCATCTACGAACGAATATAGTGGCTACATTCCCCACAATGGAACGTCTGCTTCGCGCGCATTCACCGATGCAAGGCCAATGCTGTGTGAGGAGCACATGTCCGATTCTCCCACGTACGTGAAACTCCGCGATAGACAGTTGCTTTTGTTCGAGCATCATGGTGGCGACGTTGAACTCGGTACACCAGGTTGTAGTGTTTCCACCATCAATCATCCAGACGCCATACACGCACGCGCAGCTTTACCAAACAAACTGCTGAACAAAGGGTAAGGAAAAAACAAATCAAACGCCACTATGGTTTGATGCAACTGGTTGCCATCGTCCGGCAAGCGGTCTAAACTAGCTCTTCTTCTTGCTTTCCCTCGCGGCGATCCTAGTTGTGGCGGTCGTTGTTCTGTCCCGTTTTGTCATGTGGGGATGGACGCCGCACGTGCCTGTTCCATCCACAAACAAGCATTACGACCGTGGTGATGAGATTTTCTTACAGCACCTTGAACTCACATGTTTCGAAGGCAATGTTTCGACGAGACGAGCTGCTCCGTGGTTGGCACGATGGGTGCGCATTGCTGGAAAAGTGCACAACAACAAGACGTATCGCGACAATGAGACACGTCGATAACAGCAGTTGCAGGCTGCGTACAGAAGCGCTAACCTCCAGACGAAGACACATGTGCCACCGACGGAGACCAGCCTGCGGTCGTCGCAAAGAAAAGATATCCCCGACACTCCACTCGCGGACTTGTGCCCCCAGTTCATCCGGGCCTCGCCGCCCAAGGGAGCGGGGTTGCGCATAACCCTGATGCACCCGTCCCCGTCACCCGCCTGAAATTCATTCAGTGCGGCAATGGAGCTTTCACGCTTCTCCTTGAGAAAATATTAGTTCGTATTCAGTAGTTTCCATCCCAAGATACCTGTGACTATAGTGTCTTCGGTCCCCCAAAGAATCGGCAGGCGTTAATACGCAACCATGCTGGGGCCACGGGTAAGAGACGCCAGGGGCGGCGGAGAAGTAGGTGGTACCAAGAGCACCCCAACTCTGCAACACGTATGCTCCAACTCAAGCTGAGCATGTGCGGTTTCAACAGGAAAGCGTATGTATGTGGGAAAGTATCAAAATCTTCGAGTGAAAGTTCCAGAGTTCACAAATCGAAAATGACTCGCATGTCGAATGAATGTGAACCATATCAATGGAATGTCGCGGTTCGCAAATCGGAAGCAACGGCGGTTGTGAATTTGAAATTTCGGAAACTCACAACAACTTTCTCGTTGAGTGTGTTTGTCTTGAAATTCCATTCGAAGACCGATGTGTCAGGGATTTCGCATCACGCCTAAATGACTTTCTCGGCATCTGCTACCTTTCACTGCGTGGTGGTACCTAGCATGACACACACCACCACGCATAGCGAATGCAATATGTATACTTCATAGCCTGAGATGTCGACAGAAGCTTGTTTGCTGAGTGAGTTGCGATGGTGTTGAAACAGCCACAATTGATGGTCGACATTGTGATACAACGTGGGGCGAAGAATACAAGGAGCAAACTTGCGACGGAGCTCTCAAACTCTTCTTGCCTTTGTCATGGTCTCAGGTCGGAACGCGGTGTCGCGTGCAAAATATATGAGAGCTACCAAACTGTTTTGTTGAGCCTGTTACCCGCAGGGAAGATGTCCCTATATGCTGTCTGGGAAATCGTAGACATACAGGTAGCTTTTCCTGACGCTATGAATTCATTGCTAATCTGTCTCTGACTCTTTTCTATGATAGAGATGGGTTCGTTATGTCATATTAAGAAAAATAGAAAATAGATTGAGATACGGCACTGGCATGAACAATCATTCCGGGATAGCCGAACTATGTATGTATGTAAGTAACAAGACGTCAATTTGCACGCGATCATAGGTAAAAAAACTCGCAACACTGCTGTTTGTTTTTTCTCTTCCCCCTCACCCTGCACTGCCCGTCACAAGCTGTTGCGACAATTGTTCTGCTACCTTGATTTATACCACACAATAGCGACAAGTGAAGTTCGTACATAAGAGTAACATATGATGTGCATGACGCATTATCGTACTCACCGCCATCACGTCCTCCGCCTTCGAACGACACACCACTGTAACACCCGCCCCGACGTCCTCCCCTCCTCCACCGTCCGCTACCCCCCCACCAGCCCGATTGCCCCGGAGCCCCTGCGCCGGCCAACCCTCCGGGCATGACCACGAATCCATCTCCACGTCTCTGACGCTGAATCCGTGGGATATCTGCACCCCAAGAGGTCGAACGAGAGGGCACCACAGGAGACGAAACTCAAGGACTACTGGTGAATTATTCACCCGTCCCGAAAGGCGTACAGTTGTCAAAATATCTTCGTTTCACGACGCTTTGAAAACGCACGTCGATATCGGCATATGGTGTGAGGAACTTCAATATTAGATTGTTGAAAAAGACACAAAGAGTCTTGCACCTACCTGCTTTCCGCTCGACGCCTTCCAGAAAAGGAGCTCGCCAGATGCGTCGTTGCTCTGCAGGACGGACCCGTCGCGGCTGAAGTCAAAGGATTTGACCTTGCTCACGTGCCCAGTGCACACCGCGTACCGGTGGTAGCTCCCTTTCACTCCACCGGTGCCGTCACTTCTTCTGCCGTTTCTGTCACCACCACTGGCGACACGGCCCTCTCTGTCGGGTGCCATGGCCGCCTCCCGGGCGGTCCCGGCCCCCGCCCCGTTCTCCGCCGCCGGTGCCGCCGCTGTTGCCTCAGAGTAGAGGAATATCGACATCCCACACGCCGCCGCTAGGACCCCGCCGTCCGGAGAGAAGCGCAATGCGCTGACGCTTATCATCGCCTTCCCCGCTGTCGCTGCCGCCGCGGCCGATGCCCCCATCGCCGCGTATGACCCGCAACAATGAGGTGACGGGAGCCCGTCCTTGTTTCCTTTCGCAGGCCGCGGCGGTGACAATGACGTGCCGGCAATACCGTCGTACTCGTCGTTGTCTGGTCTTGGTGCGAACTTTACGGGTCCTGGTTGTCGATGTCGGTGGTCGGCTCCAACCCCTTCTCCGCCGCCGCCTCCGTTGCGTGCAGCCTCGCCGCCGACTGTCTCGGCCAAGCCGCCCTCGCCGCCCCCAAAAGTGGCGCTTGCGGGGACAGGGACGTTGGTGGCACCTCCATCCCTGTGAAAGCTCCCCTGCTTGGTCACCGGCGTTGCTCTCTTGTCGATGCTGTTGCTGTTGCTGATGCTACTAGGGGCGCGGCCATTAGGGCCACCGCCACCCCCACCGATTACTCGCTTCCGAGCGAGCACGTCCCACGAGAAACCCAACGCCATCTCGTCTCTTTCTTCTTCCGCGGAGGCATTTTGTCGGCGGTTTGGGTCCTCGTGGCGTGTCGTGGACGACCTCCGCGGCGGCAGTCTCAATGCCATCAGCAGAAAGTCTCCGGCTTCGCTCCCTACGGCAACGAGCTCCCTGTTTGATCGGCGGTTGGTAAGGAGGAAGCATCTTGTCGGTTTTGCCAAAAGGTTGGGACAAGCACGGGGGATGTGGGGGGAAAGAGGGGTCGAACGACGAGAGGGAGGCACCAACCGTGCTTTCGTGCTCTTTTATGAATGTGTTTCGTCGTCATGAGCGGGGGTGATACCCTTGCCCGCATTGCTGTGTTGGAATCGCTGTTCCTCTCAGATCCCCCGCTCTTAGACCCGCCTGCCCCCAGGGCTCCGAGAGAACTGCCCGTGTACTCAAACGGGTTTTCGATCCTCTACGCATAGACTATGTGTGTATGTTTCTTGTTGGCATCGACGACACGACACGCGGCTGATCGATCACTGAAGTGTCAGTGGTGTAGCGTGATGCATAGACCACGAGCAACGCGCTTTCTGTGTTTGGGCGCGCGTGTGTGTGTGCGCGTGTGCTTGCGCTCACCCGGCCGGGTGGAACGCCGCGCTGCAGACTTTGCCCACCAGCCGCGCGGCGCTCAGCTGCCTCCTCGAGCGCGCGTCCCAGAGCCTGAGAACGCCGTCGGTGCCTCCGGTGATGAACCACGGTCGGGTCGGGTGCGGCGCCAGGGCTTTGCAAGAGTCGGTGTGTCCCTGCGACGGTTTCGTGTGATTGGTAATTTGGCCGTTTTTCGGTGAGTTCTGACGTGGAGAAAACTTATCCACTCCTCGTCCGACCACGTTGGATTGTGAGTGAACGGCGGCGTGAAAGTCACGTGGGCGGTTCCGCGACACCAGAGATGGTCTCCGCACCATATTCGGTAGCACTTGCTGGTCGTTCATGCTGCCG